TCTTTCTTTGCTGCCCTCATAATTTCCCTAATCAAGAGTCTTTTGCCAGTAATAATGAACAAAAGAAACCCTTCATGTGTTGGCTTAATCTGGAAGTCTAGTAGCACTGCTCTGGCAAACAGAGGAGTTTTGTCCTCCAAAATTATGCTTTTTGATTGAGATAATATTTTGCGTATTTCTCTGAGGCACTTCACATGTTTAAGATCTATTTATTAACTTCTGCTTGCATTTCCTTGTGAGCACCTCCAGTACTCAGTATTTCCCCTACAGATGAAGTAACTGAGTTTCAAAGAGATGAACACCCACATTTTCAAAAGCTTAGAAAACCTTGTGCACTTTGTTCTTTTACCTCCTGGCTAAACCAAAACCCAAGCACCAGCCTCCATACGTGGAATCAGCTCCAGCTGCAAACACCGAGTGGTGCTGAAAGTCAGCTTCCAACGGTGAATAAACTTGTCAGAGAGGATTGACAATTTGGGATTGCTTTTCCGTGGGAAAATTTTAATGAAAATGTGTGGCCAGCAAACGTTTGAACATGGCAAAGACAAAAGGAAAGTTATTCTAGCATGTTTTAGAATTCTTGTGATGTTCCAGACCACTCCAGCCTTATTCCTAATAAAAGATCTAACTTGAATGACCTGTCATCACAGCTGTGGACTGATCTTTCCTGTTACTCAGTCAGATGATAAAATAGCACAAGGAGTTCTTTGTTTACAAAATGGTATTTCTGAGGCAATTAGATGTGAAACCAGTGTCCTAGTATTGCTGTTGTAAACATTTCCTGTGTTTTTAGACATAGCAGATGTCTCGGAAAACATCTTCTGTCCTTATGCACAGCGAACGAATACTGCATTCAAGCCTTCCTTCATGCTGCAAGTTCCCCTATAGATTTGCAAATCAGGTGTGATTTTATGACTGGTCAGCCAGGCTCCTTGGTATTGTCCTAATCAGTATTTTTTGTACAATACAGATGATGCCGTCCAAGCAATTCCACCATCCTGCCCTTTCCATCAGCATGCTCTTTCCCGCTGGGTAAAGAAGGTGAACATGCACTAGCTTGAATCCCTTTCTAAACTCTCTACATCAAGACACATCAAAGACACATTCAACCCACATCATCAGCAAGTCCTAATTCATACCTTGAGCAAAGCTAGAGGACTGCTAAGATAAATCTATACAGTGACCTATTAAACAGCTGCACTTAAGAACTTCCATGTATTTTACAAGAGGAATTTGTTTAAGGTATGCTCTTATCTACGAACATTTGTAAAGCTTTAAGAGATGACATATTAGATATTTTTAAAAGCTCCCTGGTTTTATATGAACACTTGAGATATGGTAATCTGTGAAATTATTCAGATTTGTAGCTCGGTATAAAGCTGTCTGGTTTTTGGACAGCCCTTTTGATTTACCATCCTGTGGTGAAATCACTGCAGGAGTTTGGAGAAGGTCCAATTCTATTTGTTTAAAGTCCTGATCATGTGGCTTTGGCATTCCTAGCATATCCAGCAATCATTTGCTTTTAATTACCATTCATTTCAACCACATAAGTAATGAACGTGGCTACCACATCCAACTTACAGGCTGTGTAAACTCTTGAGCTGGGTGGAACTTTCTTCTATATACAGGCTTAACTATAAATTTAACTCAAACTCTGAATCCTCTTAACTTATTTTAGGCAGGCCTTTATAAGTATAAAATAAAAATAAATAAAAAGGAAATGAAAAAAGCCTTAAATGAAAGATTCCACACAATACACCTGATTCACTTCAGAAGCAATTTCCTGGCCTCCCCAACCTCTTGGTATGACTGTAGAAACCTTAAAAAAACAAGTTGATTTAACGTTTCTATTTATTCATGGTGTCCAGTTTCCAGAGGAGTCTGTGACTTGTAGTTTTAAACTCAATTTAGCATTTAAACTCATTTTCAGCTGGGTCCCAGTGGAGCAACAATTAGAGAAGGAAAGGAGTTCAAAGAAGAAGGGTTATAACCTTTCAGTGGTATGTTTGCCTGAGCTTGAAAAAAATGCATCTCTGTTACTATTCTTCCTCCATTCAGCAAACACCAAGTCATACAGCCAGGTTGAGAACCTGTTAGCAGACAGAACTTCATGGCTAAGAACAAATCAAAACCCACAAAGTCTTTCAAGGGAGCTAACACTAAGGTTCATTTTTCAGGGGTACTATTAATTGTGCCACGCTGAAAACCTCTATCAGCAAGCCCAACTTCTCTCAAGATAAAATAAATCTCACATCAAATCTGAACAAGATTAATCCACCAAAAATACGAAGAGAACCTAGGCTGCCGCACACTTAAAATTTGAGTTCTACCTTCCCATCTTCTGCAGTTGAGGGCTCCACCTGAGAATGGTGTCCCTGTAAACCAGACACTGTATGTACACATGCATACATTGTAGGAGCCAAAAAGGCTGTGCAGGCAAACATTTGAGGAGAAACAGAGGTAAAGTAACTTGCCAGAACTCGTAACTGGACAAAATGGGTGTCGAGCACTGGTCTGAAAGTTACGACCTGGCAGCTCCATTTGTGAGGCTACAGGGGTTTCATCACGGAGAGCTGGAATTTGTCTGTATTTTGGTGTACTCAGAGTTAACTTGTGCTTTCTATAGTAACAGCACTTTCTGTAGCCAATAGTACTCGTGTGAATGGCATTCCAGTGACAGAAATTCAGCCTCGAGATTCAGCCTCTGCCAAGATCTGGCTACCAAAAGTATTATTTGGAAGCACTGTACTTCATGAATACCAATGAATAACTTATTGGCTTGTCTGCCTTCCTACTCCCCCAGTTCTTGTAAACATACAGTATGAGATCCACATTGTAGATTTTCACTCATTTCAGAGCATGCATAGCTCAGGACAGGACCTGCCCACAATGCCACGTGGGACTGTGGGCTAAATGCATACAGGGTGGCTCAGACAGGCGCCCTCCATGGTGCCACAGCTGGGTGATACATCAGAATACAAGCTACATCATATTATGCCTAAGATAACGAGCTTTGTAATTTTAAGTGAGAGTTTCACTGCTCTCAGATAACTGTAAGGTCTTTAAGTTTTGTTTTTTGTTTTTTAACCTGGCTTGAGAAAGAAACCTCTTTATGCAAGATTTAATCCTTTTAATTTGAGCATTACATTTCAGAGGCATTATATTTTAGAGGCAAAAAAGTGATGCTATAGTAGTACAAGAGACAGGCAGGAAAATTGTGACTAGTGTGTCCTAAAATTACATCGGACTTGGGCAAAAGTCTTATTTTCATAAAGCTGGTCAACAGCACACCTGATCATTCTGACTGTAATGAAATTACTACCAGGTGGAAATGCATTTGGCATTAAATACATCAGGCATTTACTATGTCATCTATCAGCCCATAATAAGATAACTAGACTTGACCAAATAGACCTGAAAATAAAATCAGCTGGGATGGATTAAATCAGTAGTTTTGTCTCTGTACATGTGGTCTCTGTATGGGTGGTCAGAAAAAGATCTCCCATATTTGCTGAACTAATATAACATATTAGTTCACACAGCTGGTGTCAGATGATTTGACCCTATAGATTTCTTTCAAGGAAGAGATTTAGGAAAGAACCTTCACTCCCAACTGAGCAAAGAGAAAGTAGATGCACTTGTTTGAATTAATTAAATAAAATTTAAACTGCCAAATCCAACATTTTTGATGAGGAATGTGCTGTGGTTCGTCTACTGCTGCTGAAACCCTCCATTTTGGGAAGATGTATGTTTATAAAGAAGAAGCACACTTGTCCCTTGAAAAGAGCGTAAGAATAACAGAAATGACAGCAGCGTTTGTATAGAGGCATAGATATGCAGATATCCATAGATATGCATAGATATGCATACTGCAGATTACAATTATCACCAGACCAGGATATTAAAACGTTTCAAGTAAAGTCCTGAACTACTGAAGTTCAGAGGAGGAAGACACAACACAGGGCAGACAGAGCAGTTTTGAATGAAAGGGAAAGCCAAGGTTTTCTCATCTAAACTTCACTTCCCCTGTTATGCTTCCTGCTACTGCTGATAAGCTGTAGCTGATGTTTGAATCAGTTGCAGTGAGATGATAAAACATTGTGATAACCCATTAGCTGGAAGTGATCCTGCAGCAGTACCTAGCTGGAACATACTGATAGCAACTGCAGCCTGCAATGTGGTTCCAATTGCTGCATTCCTTTGAAACATCACCTGTAAAGATGTACAGACAGACCTCCTGCTACTGGCCATCAATGTCTACTCTTCCTGCTTGATTTTTTTTTAACTTACTATGGGTTGATCAGTTCTCAGTGAAGCTAAGGGCACTCTGAGGCCCCTTTGAAAACTGAATTATCAATGAAATTAGAGACCCATTCAAAATGCACCTGTTTTTCATTTCATTAACATGTGTGCGTGCTTCTGGATTCATGACCTGCAAAATCTGTCAGTTTTTTTTTTTCCCTTCACACTGTCCCTTTCATGTCTCTACCTTCCAATTTCCTCTTTTTCTCTCCAGGTTATGGATCACCTAACTTCCAGATGTTGATACAATTTGACTTCCTCTCTCCCTGACGCTCCTGCAACTAAACAAGCATCCACTGATGCCTCTTTCTCTTGCCTTTTTTCAGCGCTGTATCAAACTTTCTTTCTTCTCTGCTGCTAGCCCACAACAATAGTCCCAGCCAACAACTCTCACCTCTGCATACATGTCTTTGATTCCTTCTCCAGACTCAGAGTGGCCTTTGTTGAACTTAGCTCATCAGACTACTTTTCACACATTTGATGCAGTCTCATGAAGCACAGAAGAGTTTCTATTCACATGATATATGTTCTGTGATCTTTTTATAATTGACTACATCACCTGTAAGGCCACCATCCATCTCTTGTTTTAGAACCACATCTGCATTTTAGATTACACTAGTACGCTGATTCAGAAGAGCTGAATAATGCAGGCTTTGTCACTGGTATCTTAAAAAGATGGCATTTATACACACACGTACCTTGGCATTTTGAAGAGGAGGTTGGTAACTAGAGGGTCGGTAGTACCTCCTCTGGGTAGCATCGGTATGAATGTCTCCAAGAAATAGCTCCTCCACAAGGTGATCTAAGTTGTGATGCAGATATTGCTTCTCCACACGGATCAGCTGGAGTTCATGCATGGCAAAATTCAGAGCTTTGGTGCATTCACAACCGTTCTCTTCTCTCAGCAAATCATAGCTCACATCCTGCTCCCAGGGACTATCTTCTGGTATAAATCCAGGACACGTGTGGTTCACCAACTCACTTAATTTTTTGGCTATTGCTTCATTGTGGCATATGATCTGTATGTTGCGTAGCTGATAGTCAGCCTCAGTACCCCCCCGGATGATCCAGGATGCTTGGCGAAGTCGAATTTTGCCACGTATAACTAACGTGTAGATAGGGTTTGTGCAGCGATTGCCACCATAATAGAACTGATAGGCTTTAAATGTGTTATTGTGGTAGAATCTGTATGATCTTGTGATGAACTCGGGGCCTGCTCTAACTTCGCAGCTGTGGGAAGATAGAGAGTGATGGAAAGAAAATTTTAACAAGGCTGCACATCATGTACACTTCACGTAACAAGAGTGAGCAACACTGCATGGGTCTACAGAGATATCTGGGTGCTCATGTAACTCTGGCATGAATGGGAGGGAAATCGGAACCAGGTATATACACCTGCCAATTTGCCAACCATTCCCTCTACTATTATGCTATTATCAATATACTTCTTCATGGAGATTGTATCTACCTAAGGGCTCTGTAGGTTTAAATACTTTGAGTCATATTTTGCTTTTATTTTTTTGCCTAAGTACTGCCACGTGACTCAATTCTCTGAAAAAAAGTAGCAGCATATTAAACATCTATTCTTCTCTTGCATGGTAGATTTAGCAAAAGGGCTGATAACATCAGAAACCAAAATGCCAAATATCCACAGAACAGTGCAAAGAACAGGTTTCTACAGCTGCTGTACAGGCTTCTCAGTGGTGCACCGCCAGCTCTGGTCTGCAAAGGACCTGCAGGATCTTGTCCTCAGCTTTTGCACTCAAAGTTTCAACTGGGGTGGCAGTTAATGCAAAACTTCTACTTGGCTTCAATATGGACCATGTAGTATTGAGGTTGCTTAATGGAGTGTTTTTACTTTATTTTTTTCCTGAAGGTGTAAATAGAAGCTAAATTCCACTTCCTCTAGAAAATCCTTTTATACCTTCAGACTTGTCCCCCTTCTTTGTCATCCAAACTGTTTAACATAAATACACTTCTTCCTGTTAAAAATCCCCAGACTTTCCTACTATAAGTCACTTCAAATAAGTGGGTGAATATTGCCTGCTGAGACATGGAAAGAAAAATAGCGCTCTGAATTAAAAGTCATTATGTATAGAGAAGAACAGAAGTGGTGAAATACAGTTTCTTAATTTCTTTGCTAATAAAACTTGTGCTAGACAAATGCTCTGAAAACAAGGATCTATTTGATGGATCTAATGCATGTAGTCAAAGATAGTATAATGCTATGTTTGAATAAGTATCCATTTTGGCAACTCAATGGTCTCTTTCTTATTTGAAAAGAGATTTAAAGATACTTCACAGCATGCTGTTTAAAATCCAGACCACAAATTGATTCATCAAGACAGCTTTATAGCATGCTATTCCTATGTACATAACGCAGCTCCTTCTCCTTTTATGCATAAACATATATAAAGCATCTGGAATTTGGAGCATCACCATATTAAAGGAAGTATTTCCCCTGCTGGTTGAAGTGGGAATATTCATACTTCCTCTCTGCTTCAACCCCCTTTTCTCTTCCACATACATCACTCAAGAATCTTGTTTGATCTTTCCTTACCCAGTGGATACCCAATGTCCCTCAATATTGGGAGGCATTTGTACGGTGATCCGGGCTCCATTGTGCAGGTGTTTCAGCATGTGGTGACACTGTGACTCCTTGAAAGCCCTCCATGCACTCTTCTCCAAGGACCGAGGGTGGGACCTGCTGTCCGGATGAAGAAGAGCAGAACCTTCTCCCAGCCCTGCAATAGAAAAATAAAAATCATCAAGAGACCCTGGTGAGATCTCTTCCAACATCATAAAGGAGGCTGAGAACATCTTGCATTGAAAGACACTTCTTCACACCGTTATGTACCTAGGAAAGCACTGTTTACATTCCTTGTCTCATCTGGAAAATAAATAAATATGGAACGCTCTTCCTTCATATCAGTCCATGAACAATCACCTAAGTAGTCTAGCTTTATGAAACATACCGGAGAAAAGGGCTTGAGCCAAAGTATTGCATTTCTAGACCCAGAGATGTGACCGAACCTGACTTTTACAGACACCTCTTTAGCCTCTGGTCAGGACAATCAAAAACCTGGGCCCTGTAGCTTTCAGAAGGTCGCAGCCAGATCCGGACGTCAACTTTGCGGTTTCAGCCCACCTCTAATTTGAATGCTTCTATAATAAACTTGCAAATAAAGACTGCTCTTTAAAGCCAAGGGAAAACAGATACTAAAAGCAAAGCCTCTGCACACAGGAAGCCTCTGTGATGACTGAGGTGGTCAATTAAAGGCAGATCCTGCTATTTTTATTTGAAAAGGGAAAAGGAATTTCAAAAGCTAATTTTATCTCCAGCACACAGTAATTTTGGTTTCTAGTAATGTATACATACAAAACCCACCAACGATCTTTCTACACAATATTAATTGGACAAAATGAATATGTAGCTTCAGAAGGAATGTGCCTTTACTCTTTTAGGCATCGAGTGCTCTTAGATATGTTGGAAAACACGGATCAAAAGAAAAACACACATCTAGAGGTTAAGAGGTGAAAAACATGAACCTTACATAACAGGTTGGAAAACGTATTACTTTGCCAAAAGGAATTTAAGAACCGCTGGGCTAGAAAAAGAGTACGGGGTGGACTGGAGGGGCTGGTTGTGTGCCCTGGAAACCCGGTTTTTCATTTTGGGAGAGGGAAAACTTGGTAACACATGCTCCCAGGGACAGGGGCTAGGATCTAGCAGGAAAATCAGCACTATTCATTTTTAGATAGACACCATTTCAAACCTTTGCCATTTCCTACTGCTAAAAGAAAACTGTGTCAATGACTCATTATGTTCAGTAGGTCCTACATCTGCTGGAAGAAACTTGGCTTAATACCTGGGAAAATGCCATTGCCAAAAATATACATACATGTCAACTGTTTTCAAAGAGCAATTCCTAAGCTAAACAAAGGCAAGAAGTTATCCAGTAGATAAAGAATGACCAGAAACAATACTATAAATACATGAATGTAAACGGTACTCATCACTGAATGATCTCAAGGTTTAATGAGAGTAATGAATATAGCCTCACAAAGTCTACTAGAAAAACTGGTAGCTTTGTTGCAGGTTACAAACAGTTCTTCCATCCAAATGAGAATTTATGGCCTTACTTTCTAAAGGGTAATAAACACGAGAGATGCTTTGATATTTGAGCATGCCGTCGGAGATGCCCTTAAAGGAGCCTGACTTTCAGAGGGTCAATACCTCTCCCTAGCTGAAAGTCAGTCTTCTCAGGTGTTTCTGCATTGCTGACCAGTCTCACTTAGGTGAGCACTGAACAACCGTCGTTCTGCAGCCAGAAACAGCAGTGCCATTTCAGAGGTGGTATGGCCACGCCAGGGCGATGCTCTGCTGGAGCTAACGATCATTTGAGAGGCAGGATTTGCTAGACCGGTTCGGTCCTTCATGCACATCGCCTCCTGGCCTTAAGCCAGCATCTCTGCACAGCTCTCTGCTGTGCCTGGTCTGCAGCCCAGCTCACCTGGAACAGTGCTCGGCTCCCTCAAAAGCTCGGGCTTATCGGGTTTATCTGAAACCTCGTGGCTATGGGGTTGATGTCACAGGCCCTTACGCTGCCAGAAGAGCAAGTTCAGCCAGGTCCGTGTGAACTTACGAGTAGACTTATTTTTTGTTGTTATGAATCACAGCTAGTGACAGAGACCTGCCCTTCCAATACCCTTCTCCATCTCTACATCTCCACACACTCAAAAAGCCCACGTTACTTCAGCACGTCACTCTGAAATGAAGTGGAAGCTCCTCTTCATGGGTGCTGAGCCTCTTTTGGGTCAGCAGGGACACTTCCTGCAAGGTACCCGCTCGATGCTGGAGCCATCAGTACTAACTTTTTCAACAGAAACACAGCTGTCAGGATGTCTCCTGCAAAGAAATTATCTCACCCTGAAAAAACCTTTGAAGATTTACATTTCTGACTTGATTTGTTAAGCACTTGAAATCTGCCATCAAGAGGAGGTTTTGAAATGGTTCAAGTAACTATTTCCAAGGCATATTTGTTATGCAATTTGCTTTTGGGCAGTCGTTTTTCCTAATTCATGTCATATGACTCATGAATACAGATGCACTCGAAAATGAACGATTTATCCCTTTTAACATAATTGAACATTTAATTTCTCCAAGCAAAAATCCTTTTATAGGAGGATACCATCTTTTATGTGTGCATATCAAAGGAGAAAATGCAGTAACTATGTTATACATTGCCAATTATTCCCTGGAGGAAACAATGAAAAGAAGGGGTTTTTGAAAAGGAGACAAACTTTATGTGACATTATACAGCATCTTTTTGATATTGCTTAAAAGCCAGTTGGGTCCCAACTCTCCCTGGATGTACAAGTGGATGTAGTTCTGTCTTGCAACTTGCAAGCAACAAACTGTACCCAGCAGATGGAAGGAAGATTTGCATCATCAGCCACCGAGATTTGTACCTGAAGAGAGAGTATTTGCACAGGACTCCATCCGTCAAACTGTGACAAATGAGGACAGGAACAAATTTAGGTGATCAAGACAGGCACAAGGACACAAGGAACACTGCAGAGACTGAGGAAGGGATGTAGAAGATGCGTGCTAGGCAGCATCACATAGATTGGACATGACTATCAGGATGGGAATTATGGAGTATGATTAAAAGGCAGTGATGGGACCCTTACCTTGCTCACTACACTTCGCAATGTTTGTGTTGCAAGAGCAAGGAAATACTTAATTTAGCACAGTCTCCACCCTCACTGAATAATCATTTCAACATTTTTGTATGCACCTACATATGCCTGCATACATGGCTGCCATACAGAGGTGCCACAACTTCCCTTGAATCACCTGAAGATCCCCTGAAAAGACTGGCAATGTGCTTCCTACATGGGGCATTAAGCTGAACACCATCTCCCTGTGCTTTTCCACAGAGCAGGTAATCCAAAGCAGCACAGTGTCCCCTGCCCCCCTTTGGCTGTGCACAGTGAAGTGTTCTGCAAAACCGGGCTCTCAGGGGGCTGATGGCACTCATTTTAAAAGGTCCATTTGGCGATGTTAAGTGGGATGCTGCTGGAAGGCTCAAGGTTAAAACGTGCTTTCACAGAACTGGCAAAAGAATTTCATGGCTCTTAAAAGCCCACATCGGAGCCTAGACACAGTTGCAACATACTTGGAGCCACTGCTTTCATTCAAAGGGATCCAGCTCTGCTATTCTCTACTGCACAGACAGATGGTAGGCACCAGCACCTCCAGGACAAGCCATGTATTTCAGACTCAAGGTCTGACTTACTTTATTTATCTATTTTTTGTGTTTGCGATATGAAGGAATCTTGCACGTTTGATAAAAAAAAAATATCCATCATGTTATCATTCAAAAGCTTGACAACCTTCAAACAAAAAACATTCTTTGCATAAGGCTAATAGCAGTACTTCTGTGAAGCCTCTGGTTAACACCAACTTAACTACACTATGACCATAGGCCATAAGATTTTATCTCCCTCCCCATGATGGCTGTTTAGTCAAAGGAGCGAGCCCAAAAGGAAAAGGAAAATTCCAGAACTTGTCGAAAATACCAGCCAGAAAAACAAAACGAAGAAAAACAAACACATTTTTGATGCATCGATATCTGTCTTCATTTCATAATCAAGCCCAAGTAGTGTAGATCACCATACAGCTTTAGCATCAAAGTTTTCATGGAAGACAGCACAGGAGGTGCTACAGCTCCATATTCTAGCTGGGAATCCCCTTCCAGGGCCTCACAAATCACGCGTTAGAGGGCAGACCCAACATCCATCTGAATGGGAGAGCAGAGCTGTGCTCAGCTGCCAGGCCAGTAAGGCACAGCTGGCAGCACGCACTGTACCAGGTGCTGATAAGGAAGAGGGTTCAGGCTCCGGGGTTCACCCATAAACCTCTATCTGATGTGGGAACAACCACTCTAGATAAAAATAATTGCAAGGGAAGATAGGTTACTTTCAAGTTCTTCAAAGATTTCTGCACATAGCTGCGAGTGAAATATGAATCTTAAAAGGGCAATCTGCTGGCAGCCCGTTACCCAAATGTGTTTCAAAAGTAGCTCTGTAAGAGCTCCCCGCCAACATTTCTGAAAATAAACTGTGAGCTGCTACACTAAATGGCTCGGTTTTCTGAAAAATAGTATGCAAATAACAAACAATTGCAGCACAGATAATGATAAGTACTGTTGTGCTTGAACACAAATTCTCATCTTTTAATTCATACCTAAACACCCCGGCCAGATTCTCTTCTCAGCTATTCCTGGTTGCAAAAGTATAACTCGAATAATCTTCAATGTTAAACTGGTTAGATTTAATCAGTTTAATTAACAAACACCTCTACCAGAATCTAAACCGTGGCTTCAAATGTGGTCAAATGTAGTGCTGCAAAATGCAGGCTCAAAGCTCCTAGGCTTTTGGCAGGTTCACCCTTGGCTGAACAGGAGAATAAAAGTTACCAGAAAGTAGGACTCAAAACTGGATTAAGCTTGGGATTGCTTAATAGGAACCGCTTTTTCTTCCATTTACAGCAACGTAGATCCAGAAGAATACCATTTTGTTATAAACTAAAACAATCTCGAGTGGCAGTCCAAGTTCGCAATACGTGATGGCTTCACCTCCGACGGAGACATCTGAACATTCGCGCCGCGTTTCTGCAGCAAGCCCTGCTCAAGTTCGAACTTGCTCGAAACTTAAAAAACTTTACCACAGACAAAGAATAATTGGCCGGCTTAGGTTTATAGCTCTCCTTATCTGGGCAGTTGCCCTGCACAATTAAATAAATACACATTTGGATTACGCTCTTTCTTGATGTGGGAGCGTGCTAGATAACGCCCATGACAGGCCTTCAGCTGCAGTGCAAACTTGTGTAATTGCAGGGGAGAATACAATGTCCCGTTACCAAGCCGCTGTCTGTGTTTACCAGTGTTTTCCCTGCGCTCGAAACTTCAAACACTCCTCGCAGGATCGGGACCTAAATTAGCTACCACGAACAAAGGGGCCGGGAAAGGAAACCTGAATTTCATAGTCGTAAAAGCAGACGGGACAATGATTTCCTTTTGCAGGTATCTGCTGCCGTTCTTGTGCATGCAGAGTTTTCGGGCATGGCTTCAAAAGAGACTTGTAGCCTCACGGAGGGAAGTAAGCATCGCACAGTGTGGAAGATCCCAAAGACAGATAAAGTATCTTTAGATGGGAGAGCAAAAAGGAAACTCCTCCAAGGCTGGCTGGCCCAGGCTTAGACCCTCCATCATCTTACAGCCCTGTCCTTGCTCCATGGCCCTGTTTGGGAGAGACCAGAGGACCAAGTGCCAAGCAATTGCAGAGCTGAGAAACTCTGCTAGGTTTAGGTTTGGCCATTATCTCGGATCACTGCTTCCTTCTGCAGCCACCAAGGGTTAAAGCCCACCTCCACGCGGGGCCGCGGGAGCGCGGCGGGTGCAGCTCTGGGCCGTAAGTGCAATTCAATATCGACAGTAGTTTGGTCTTGCCCCCTTTGAAGCCGACATCTGGTCTCCATCACAGACATCTGCAGCGCTCTGCCGCGCGGGCTGCACACCCCGGCTCCATCCTCCGTACAAAGCGCGGGTGTTTGTTCAGGTGGGACTCCCTTCAACGCCGATGGGACTTTTGTCCGAGTACAGACAGCGCTAAACAAGCTTATTATGGGTAATCCCACCCTCCACCAGCCCTACCTAAAGTACTGCATCGATTATAAGACACTACTGTTGCTTCGAAGAGCTGAGCCTATTTGCCTTCAGCGTGCTGTATGCGACTCTGGGGCTCCACGACCTACCAGCCTGGATCCTCCAGACACGCTACAGAATGCCAAAATCACCCCTTCTGCCCACGACCACCACTCCGTACCACTCTAAGCCCACAGCCAAGCCACGGAGATGGGTGAAATTGAATTTACAGTGATGAAACTGTGAATAAAACTCCGCCTGTTTTCCAGCTCTCCCTGCTAACTCTAGAAGGCTTACTGCAAGCGGCGTGTCTTTCCCTTTTTTCCTCTTCGTTGTCTTCCAGATTCCCATCTGAAGTATGTTACTGAGGGAACGGATCTTGTACGCCTTTAGCATGGGGCGCAGTTCTTGTCCATTTTACAGATGTGGGTATTTACATCCTTATATATTTACTTATTGTTTTCCTGAACGGGTTCTGAAATTAAGCACTTTGCAACTAATTTAAGCAATATTGCCAGAGAACTTTTAGAAGCATAAACAGTTTTGCTCTGAAACGCCCAGCAGTCCTGTCTTCATCATCTTTATTAGGACTATTTCCATGACGTTATCAACAAATTGTTTTAGTTAGGGTTTCTAATTCAGTGGTAACATAATCAGAAATACACTAAAGTTTCTTCTTAGCATTTGTATTTGTAAAGTTTACATTTACAAAAGAAATTAGCCAAATTTGTTTTGAACCCACTTGGAGGTGGCTCTTATTAATCAGGTTTTTTGGAGCTGAACGATCTTAGCATCTGACATCTGAAACTTCTGTGGCTTTTTGTCTAAGCAAAGAAAACAGTGATAATGGACAACTTCCAGCTGCAAACCTCTTTTGACATTGTACAGGTTTTATTTTGACTAAGGAATACAAGTTTTTCCAAACTGTAATTCAGCAACGTTAAATTAGGCAATTCTTAACATAATGAAGGCATAAGCTTTAGTCTTACTGGACATTTTAACTTGCATTATAAAGCTTTAAACCCTAAATACACACACACCCTCTCACTCACTTTTAACCCTTAATTTGCTGTGTACAATAGAAGAGTTTAAGACAACATCACGTGATGTGAAGAGGCTTAGCACTACGATCCCCTGGGATTGCTGGTTATTCTTATGTATTACCAGTTCGGGCTAGCCGCTGTCTGAAGGATGCTCCTGTTGACTCTGTGGCACACAGAGAAAAGCTCTAGACCAAGTTAAAGCTAACAGGGTAAACACATATTGACTGGCAGCACTTCAAATGCATAATGTGAGTTTTCGAGCTTTTAAGAGGGCAGCAGTTTCCCCACGCTGGAAGCTCAGATCCAGGCTGTGCACTGCCACATTACTGAGGTGTGTATGTTTACACACCGAGCGAGCTGCTTCGTTCTACAAGAATGTAGGAATACGTTATTAGGTGAAATATAACTGCAGATGGAAAAAATGGACAATTTTCCTACTTCATCCTCTTTTGGCAGCTGCTGTTTTGATCTGATCATCGGCCCTGATTTGTTTCCCGCTCCAGCCAGGGTTCAGCACTGCTCTGTAATTCCAAGCAGATGAGCCAGGGAGTCCAACCCTGTAATTACACCTCCTCTCCTTACCCTCTAACTTCAAACCTCCCATTTCCACTTTTACGTCTCAGTTCACAGAGTTTTAAGGAACACCTTTGGTGTCCCAGCAGGTCTGGCTTAACTAAACACGTTTATGCACTCTCTGGATTTCATAGCTGAGCTGTGAGAAGGGTATAAAACCCCCTCCTGGGGAACGAGGTCTCTTGCTCTTTGTCTCTCAAAACAAAATACACAATCAGAAGTCCATGCTCTTTATTATTTATTGAATACCATCTGTGTGCTTAGCACTTGTACAAACACTGAGAGAGACAATCCCTGCTCCACAAAATCAATCCCAGGAATAGCTTTGAAACCCCTACCCCCCCTCACAGACCTCACATTGAATCCATGTAGGTTGCTTGCATCGTAACAGCTAAATTCCTCTTTTTACGAGTAAGCTCGGGGTCCTACGAAATTTAGCAGAAGGCGGCTGGATGCTGCAAAGCACTCCTGAATTAGGAACATGCTTCAAAACGATGCTGTAGCTGAGTAGCTTGAGTCACTCTTTGACAACAAGATCTCTACCCGGACTTTTCAAATCTGGCTGCCAAATGTTGGACATACCTCAGCAGCTAATTAAACAGTTGCAGCTAATTGAAGTTGCTCTTGAAGAACGCCGGGATTCTGGGCAAATGCGTTGTCACCTCAAGTTGTCTTGGGATGAACGTACGAGCTGAACGCAGCACAGTCAAGTCCCATATGCCAAGGGCTAACATTTTGCCTACTGTGCAGCTTCAGAGAAATTTCATCCCGGGGGGAAGCTGAGAGAGTTTCAGAGCAGGACTGCCCGCAGAGACACCCGGGCTCTCTTCCAGTCGGGCACGACCCTAGGTAGTGCCAAAACTGCTGCAGCCCGCGGCTCCCCGGCGATGCCCCGCAGCATCCCCACGGGAGATTCCCGGCAGCAGCCCCGTCCCGCAGCTTTCCGCCGGCTCCCACCCGCACCACCCCGACGGCTTTCCCCGAGGGGGATGCCCCGCACTCACCGTGCAGCAGCAGGGCTGGGAGCAGGCACCTCATGAGCCTGCCGTACATCTCCGCTCCGCTCCGGGACCCGCGGCTCAGCACCGCGGCGGGCAGCCCATGGCCGGCGCTAGGGGGCAGGCGGCCGGCGGGACCCTCTCCTCGGGGCTGCCGCCCCCCGCTGCCCGCTGCTCGGGGGCTCCCGCTCCGCTCCGAGCCGCTCCGCTCCGCTCCGAGCCGCCCGCAAGTCTCCGCGGAGCGCGGCGGCGGCCCCGCTTCATATTTCCCCTTCCAGCGGGAGGAGGAGGAGGAGGAGGAGGAGAAGGAGGAGGAGGAGAAGGAGGGGGCGGGAGGTGGGGACAGCGCGGCCAGGGAGGGCTGCAGGGGGCGGCCCCGCTCCGCCCGGCACCCCCCGGAGGGGTCCTCCCGTTGAGGGAGGGGGAGGACTGACACCACCCCCCCAGTCCTAAAAACCCCAAATCCTCCGCCGGGAGGGTGCGTGGGTCGGTGCCGGGGGTGCCAAGGTGCCCCCGGGGAGGCTGTGGGCAGGTACGGCACCCCCAGTGCCCCTTGCTGGTGGGCACCCCCGCCGTGAGGGTGCACCTTCGTGTGGCTGCATGGCTCCGTGTTAAAAGCCAAGGGTGGGCGCCTAGGTTGCCTTCTTTGGTGCTGCGCTCCTCTGCACGCCTTTACCCCCGTCTGTTGTTGATTAGTTTTGATTTTTAGGCTGAGCTTAGGCCCTGGTCATGCAAGTGCTCAATGCGTGTGCTTAGTGTTGTACACGCGAATGACTCATGGGACTGGGTTTGAGCACGGGGCTTTCTTTTATAACGTCCTCTGCTCAGGGACATCAAGCTTGCTGGCTTTTCTTTGGACTTGTGGGCTCAGCTGTAGGGTCCCATGGCAAAGAATGTGTAACAAATTGGAGAAAATCAACAGATCGGACTTTTGAACTCAGTTTAAGCTAAAGTGTTTACACACTGCATGCTTACAAAGAAATACAAACAATAATGGCTCCTTCCAACTCCCTTGAGAAATAAGAATAAATTTAATCTTCCTCATTTGTATAGGGAGGAAACAGAAACAAATAAGTGGTGAGTCAGAATTTGAGCTCCGGTGCTTTGGATTCTCAGGGTTAAACTTTTTCCTTCAAACAAGTGTTTTTCAGGACAGAAAGAATGGTTTCCAGAGCACTTGGTGGCGGTCTCTACAAACCAGTAGTGTTTGGATATCCACTCAGTGACCTGGAGACAGATGCACAAAGAGCTACTTCCTTCAAGAAGCAGGTGCACATGAACAGGAACAACTAACATGGGGTACGGCCATAAAAATGCCCTTACCCAATCTTATTTGCTCAGCTTCAACGCTTTTGTCTAGCTGCCACAGAGATGTTTGTCAGCTGTGTGTGTGGAGGGAGGTGAATCAAAGGGTTATAGTAAATGGGGTTACTTCAGGCTGGCAGACAGTCTCTAGTGGGGTTCCACAGGGCTCCATTTTAGTTCTCTTCAATGTTTTCATAAATGACTTCACTGTAGGACTTCAAGGTATACTGAGTAAGTTTGCAGATGATATTAAATGGGGAGGAGCTGTTGACTCACTCAGGGGCAGAGAGACCTTGCAGAGAGATCTTGACAAATTAGAGGCTGGGCAATCACCAACAATATGAAGTTCAACAAGAGCAAGTGCTGGATTCTGCACCTGGGATGGGGCAACCCTGGAAAGATGTACAAAATGGGGGATGAGGGGCTGGAGAGCAGCCCCATAGAAAGGGATCTGGGGGTTCTGGTTGACAGCAAGCTGAACATGAGCCAGCAGTGTGCCCTGGCAGCCAGGAGGGCTGACCATGTCCTAGGGTGCATCAGGCACAGCATTGCTAGCCGGTCAAGGGAAGGGACTGTCCTGCTCTGCACTGTGCTGGTGCAGCCTCACCTTGAGTGCTGTGTGCAGTTTTGGGTGACACAATGTCAGAAGGACATAAAACAACTACAGAGTGTCCAAAAGAGGGCTATAAAGACGGTGCAGGGTCTGGAGAGGAAGATGTATGAGGAGCAGCTGAGGTCCCTTGGTTTGCTCAGCCCCGAGCAGAGCAGGCTGAGGGGAGGCCTCATGGCGGCCTGCAGCTCCCTCACGAGGGGAGCGGAGGGGCAGGCACTGAGCTCTGCTCTCTGGGGACAGCGACAGGACCCGAGGGGACAGCATGGAGCTGGGACAGGGGAGGGTCAGGCTGGGGGTTAGGGAAAAGGTCTGCACCCAGAGGGTGGTCAGGCACTGAGACAGGCTCCCCAGGGACATGGTACAGCACTGAGCTTGCTGGAGTTCAAGAAGCATTTGGACAAGGTGCTCAGATGTGGTCTGATTTTTGGGTGGTCCTTTGTGGAGCCAGGAGCTGGACTCGATGATCCTTGTGGGTTCCTTCCAACTCAGGATATTCTGCGATTCATGATTCAATGCTGTATACCCAGAAAAGCTGTCTGGGAAGACTTGTGTACTCCACTTGGCTGTTTTTAGGAGAGGATCAAGATTATAGAGATATCCAAACACTACTGGTTTGTAGAGACCGCCACCAAGTGCTCTGGAAACCATTCTTTCTGTCCTGAAAAAACACTTCTTTGAAGGAAAAAGTTTAACCCTGAGAATCCAAAGCACCGGAGCTCGAATTCTGACTCACCACTTACTTGTTTCTGTTTCCTCCTATACAAATGAGGAAGATTAAATTTATTCTTATTTCTCAAGGGAGTTGGAAGAGCCATTATTGTTTGTATTTCTTTGTAAGCATGCAGTGTGTAAACACTTTAGCTTAAACTGAGTTCAAAAGTCCGATCTGTTGATTTTTCTCCAATTTGAGCTGGGACAGGGAGGGTCAGGCTGGGGGTTAGGGAAAAGGTCTGCACCCAGAGGGTGGTCAGGCACTGAGACAGGCTCCCCAGGGACATGGTACAGCACTGAGCTTGCTGGAGTTCAAGAAGCATTTGGACAAGGTGCTCAGATGTGGTCTGATTTTGGGTGGTCCTTTGTGGAGCCAGGAGCTAGGGCAAAATCTTAATTTCACCACCTGTAACATCTGACAGTAGCAAAGACACTCAAGTAGGTTTTCTTTACCTACAGGCTCTGTAAGGGGAAATAGGCCAAATGAGCAAGGAAAAAAACAACCTTCACTTATATACAGTACGGACATCAGAGTTTATGAGTCTTGGGGACCCCTGACCTACTTCAGGTACGTTGCCTCCCCTAAGAGATACAAGGATGTGTGAAAAACAAAGCAAGTGAGAAAGTGAGCTGCCCTGAGCAGCACACTGCTGCGAGGGGGTCCTGCCTGGTGGGACGCAGCCAGCTGGAAGAGTCTCTCTTGTTTGGCCAGAGTACAGACACGGTGTGTAGGAAGGCTCTGTTAATGTAAGCCACCCATTACTACCGGTTAGTGAGTGTGTGTCCCTTCAGAGCCTGGTAGATACTCCTGTTGTTGCCCCCTCCATGTGTCCAACCTACAACCTCTCCTGAGGAAGCAGCGAGTCAGAAGGGGATAACAGAAATGCAGACCCAGGGTGTAAGGGGTCACTGGGAACACTAATGAAAGACTAGCAGTTTTGATGTGTAATCGTATGGAAGTAGCAACATCCCAAGGGATAATTTTTTTTTTTTCTTTGCTGTAGACACCATCTATTCTGCCATCTTTGAATCAAACAACAACATTATCTGCAAAAGGATGAGACTGGGAACTGTCTGCAAAAAGTCGGTTATCCCAAAAGTGCACAGCTCGTCCCCTGGGAAGTGAGCCCCACATCAGCAGCATCGCTAACAGCTTTTCATAAGCAGAAAGGGGAATGACTTTATTGCTTCACCGGCCAACTTTGTAAATTAGGCTCCGCTTGTGATTTACTATCAGCGCAGCTTCAGATGTGGTAATGAAATAAAATGAAATCAATACCCAGAGGACCCAGACACGGTAGAACTTTCCAAAAACAACAGAGACTATACTTTGTCTTTTACTCGCCTTTTTTATTTCGCATTATTTTAAGGACGTGGGATTTTTCAGACCGATGCACGATATTTTTTTGAAAATACGCCCAGTTTCGTCCTACTTGTTTCATTACTGTGCCCCTGTTCTGAATTTACTGTTGCTGTAACGGGAAGCGGTGACAAATAACAGCTCTCCGCACTTTGATCTAAGCAGCATGTCACATCCACGCCCATTAAAAATTATATTAACCAATCCAACCATGACTTTCTGAACTTGGGCTCCTGGGGCAGGGTATGTGCTTAATGTCGATATAAAGTAAAATCATTTACAAAGGCATTTCGTCCATGTTTTCAAAAATATCATGGAGGGGGGGGAAAGTGTTTTAAAAAGGAAGTCAGCAGAATTTTGCATGGAAAGTAGCCGCTCTGAAAAACAACCTAATGGGAAATGTACTTTGTGGCTGGGCCCCTCTGCAAAAGTATTAAAATAGGAAGAAAACTAACTTGTTGGGCTTGTTGCGTGACACTTCAAAGACCTAGGCGTATCAGCACGGCACTCGTCTAGCTAGGGTGCGGGCTTGCTGGCTGGCAGCCAATGCCAGTCTTGTGGTGAAAGACATTTAAAACAGAGACACGATGGGAAAGAACGGAGGCCGCGAGCATATGGGGCACTTTATGCTGTGGAGAAGAATGGGATGGGGTAGTTCCTTTCCCCTCAGTAATGCTTTGGCAGTGCCACAACTGTGATTTGCTAATGGCTAAATTGTGTTTTTTTAAAAACCAGTATGTTCTTTTGAATAAGGCAAAGGAGTAGGATGTAAAGAATTATTGGAAAGGAGTGGAGTGACTAATTCACGAGGAATCAAAAGTCTGTCAGATTTCTATTTGTGAATTGTCCATGTCAAATTCGTCAAGAATTAAGTGAAGATTTGAAGAGTGGTTTTGCTACATGCCCAGCTGAAGTTAGAACCCACGAGACCAGCCTAGAGCCTGTTTGATGCACAGAAATACGCATTGTATGACTTTTGCCTGGGGTTTGGCCATTTGAGGGAGAAGTTAAATTGTTTTACAGTGTAAAACAAATGTCAATCAATTTGTTTCTCCATTTACACTGGTCTGAAAAATCTATAGTTTGGGGGGTATTTCAGCTTCTCAATTCCTGCCTCTGTCATTTTTATATTGTTAGAATAAGAGCTGTAACCAGACTTTTTAAAATTATTATTAGTATTATTTTCTCATTCTTTGTTTACAGAAGGAATTGACAGAGACTTTGGCAGTATTTGCAAGATGTTTGGCTCACAGAGTTGTGCAGAGTGTTTCATCTTC